GCTAGTTTCCATGACAGTGGGGTTGCAGTTATGACTCACAAGAACAGTGGACAGTTGTGGTTATGATGCGCAAAGACATGAGGGGAGGAGGGTTATACTTTACTTACACTACCTTGACAACTGATAGTGCAATCTTGATGGCTTCTGTTTTATTACTCAGTCCCCAATTATTTCTCGCACTCTTTTTTTTTTGGTTTTGTTTTGCACAAAGCTTCTGCTGAAATGTTAAACATTTCAGGTAATTTGTATGATTTTCTTAAGCTCTTTGTCAAAAGGTAATGTTTATTTTCAGCTAATGTTTAGTGTTGTTGACATCATATTTGTTATAGAAATGAAGATTTTTATTTTCTAAAGTTTTTACACTTTTCATCTTGTCAAACGGATGCAAGATAGAGTCTTTAACTGAGGAGTTGTGAACTTGTGATATATGATCGTGACAATTTTGCTTTTTGTGCAGGTTGATGGGCTGCTGTTCTTCCACAAGAGAACTCACTACACTTTTGGCTCCACTCCCCTGGTAGTCTGGCTCAAGCCCCACATGCTGCCGGAAATCTTGGGAATCTCTGTACCAGAGAACCAGATGACTCACAGACCCAGTCACTACACCAACTATGCTGATCACTTGAAGAAAGTAAGTTTCAATCTTGTACATGAGTGGTAGACATCTCATTCTATTTAAAGCTTTTTTTGGAATAGCAGGGGAACAGAGAAGAAGAAGAAGAACTTGTTGGTCTCAGAATAGACTCACAGACAATGGAAAAGGTTAGAGAACAGATATGTCCTTCGAGAAATTAATTGGGTTTAGATCGTAGGTAACTGGTAAAAATTATTAGAAATTGTAAAAGTCAATCTGGTATGAGGCTTGTGCGAGATTAGAGTTAACATTTTTTCTGATTGTGTTTGAAATGTTCCCTAAATAATTGTGGAAATGTAAACTGTTTGATCTCAACAGTCGCCATGAATTTGTTATACAGACCTGCCACTCATCCCGATTTAATCGGGATATCCCGATTTTTTGCCTCAAATCTCTAGCATCCCAAATTTTCTAGCGCCGGATTTTTCCAAAAACTTACTCCGCCTTGTTCTCTGTCATGGGAAGCATCCGTTAAGGTATTTGTCAGCAGTAACTTGGAACACTATATTCCTAAATATCGATGCTGGATTTAGTAGCTAACTCATCGCAAGTTGTGTTGGATCTCTGTTCTCACATGTTATTTCAATTATAATGGAAGTAGTATCGATTTGGCATTCCGACTTGGGATATTTTCAGGATCTACTTTTGTTTCCACCTAGAATTCCTTGATGATGGCCTGATCTCGGTTTCAGTTGCGGCATACAAATGATTAATATTATTCATAGTTCTGCTGTTACTTTCAAAACAAGCTTTGTCCAAGTTCTGGTTAATCAGGCCCATCAACAAGACCCGTCAGTAAAACAGTTTCAATCGTGCGTTCGCATCACACGGGTTTCGCGTGTGTCGAAGACCATCCGTTAACGGGGTCAACTTATGTTCATGCACACTCGTTGAAGCGTCTATTGAGAATTACGGGTAGAGGGGAGTATTCACTTGGACTAGGAGTCCTTAACGTGATACTTCAGGATTTTAAAAAATAATGATAAAACACACACACGCACACGCACACGCACACACACACACACACACACACGCGCGCGCGCGCGCGCACACACACAGGGCCTGTGCTAGGATATATCTATGGATACCCCTGGAAAATTTATAAATCAGCTTGGCAGTGACATTGGTGATTTGTTGTAGTTTTTATAGATTTTTTTCACAAAATCCTGATTTTTCCCCTCTGGGATCCTAATTATTAGATTTCATAGAGTGGCAGGTCTTGTTATATGTTTGTACACTTACATCATCATTTGCTTTTCCTAGACTGCAGGTACTGGTTCATTTGTTCTTTTAGAAATACAGTGGAGTCTTTTAAATGAAGTAAATCTCCATGAAGGCCGGATTCTCTTTGGTTTAGCCGTGCTTTAGATTTAGAGAGATTGCTCAAATAGTGAAGAAAAAAAATATAGACTTCCATTTTCTCTCAGTTTACCGTTTTTGTATTAACAGTGTTCGGTTTAAGGGAACTCCACTCAGCTTAGTACATACCTGTTGCTGGCAGCCATTACTGAAGAAAAGTTTGCCATTCACTGCTATGTTTGTATTTTATATAATTTCAAACATCAGAACATTGGTTATGTTAATCTGATATAACATGTAGTTCATGTGTTCCTCAGGACATTGCTTGTACCTGTATAATAACTGACTGTTAGCTATATCTTTCCTCCCATTTTTTTTCTCTTGTGCTTTAAGGTGGAAAGTGACAGAATTGCTCGCGAGAAGAAGTTAGAAGAAAGAAGGAACAGTCCCCAGAGAGGTCGTGGAGGTCATTTTCCCAGGGGCAGGGGCCGCGGGAGAGGCAGAGGTAGAGGTCAACATCACTCTTCCAGAGGCATGAACATGGAAGTGTCAAACACGGAGCCGGTGGAAGGCGCTGTTGGTGCTGAGATTGACATTGAGGCGATAGAGGGGGACGTGACACAGACTAACACACCTGACGTGATGGCTTCAGAAGAGGCAAAAGCATAAGGTTGTGTGTCTGGTATTCTGGGAGTGATTGTGTTGTGTGTCTGGTGTTCTGGGAGTAATTGTGTTGTGTGGTGGCGTTTGTGAAGTTGGTTTTTATGGTGAGCTAGTGATGTGAAATTGGACACCTGGCAATTAAGTGTCAAAATGATTTAGGAGGGTGAAATTGCACCTGCTGAAAGATTTGAGTTATTTTGTATAGATGTATGATGGGTAAGATTGGTGCATTTGGACAACAGGACATGAGAAGGATGTGGGGACATTATCAATGTACAAATCTGGACACTTCTTTTAATATGGTGAAGGTGAGTGGTATTTTTCTTTGTGGAAGAAGTTTTTACTCAAATGTGCTGTATGTTTGAAGTTGCCTATATTATGGAACAAGGAAGTCTTTCATCTCTGAATGATATTGCTGTTATCGTTCTTTAGCCGTGATAAGGATGCAAGAGTGGCAATTTTCTTGCAGAGAATGTTTCTAAGATGGGAGATTTTCAAGTCTCTCAAAGCTGCAGGAAGATAATTCACCAGAATGTAATAATGTACATAAACTTTGTTGTTTTAGCTTCTGAGTTGATTTATTTCTTCAAAATTTTAATGTATCAGGATGTGTCACTGAAAGCAAATCTTTTGAAGCTAGAGTGAATTACAGTCTAGCACACACTTAACAAAATCGTTGAAAATCAAAACTCTGTTCATCATGTGCTGACTTGTAGATCTACATGCCGTCACGCAACTGCAGACTATCGACATGCAAATGAAGTCTGCAGGTGAGATCTACCAGCTTAACACTTCAGTGACGTATGCAATAAACACGTTGTTGGCCTCTCGGCTAATAAATGTCGTTGGTCTACACTCATACTTTGCCCCCTCCTCCCCCCCCCCCCTCCATCTCTCTCCCTCTCCTTTCTCACTCTTCATCATGGCCTCTTTGGTGAATGAAATTTGGCGTCGTTTAAATTAAATCTACCCTCACTGAAGCCACTATTTTCGTTGTGTACTAATTGTTTTCATTATGTGTGCATTTTTAATACAAAGAATAAATGAGGAAAAAATGTGGGACCTGAAAATTTGTTCACTATGAGCACATTTGGAAAAGAAAAAAATTTGGGATCTGAAGTCTGTTCAAAATGTGCATTTTTTAGTATGTGCGTGCTAGACTGTACTTTATATCTTAGCTGATCTTGTGCAGGGAAAACCAAAAAGACTGTGAGATCATTAATGTTCATGGTCATGGTGTCAAAATGTGTCCAGTTTTGAATTTGAAGAGCAAACAATGTATCCCCTCATTTTTTTTTTTTTTTGGTCAAACCGTTTTGTGAATAAAATTTTATGTACTTTTCAGCTGCATTCGCGTTTTATTTCGTTAAGTTATTGTTTATCATTATTTTTTCCAATTGTATGGGCAATTTTGATCGGTTATGGTTGATCATCTACCTCTTTTAATTCTCGAAAGAGTATGTTTAACTATATAAAAAGCAGGAAAATTCAGCTTTTTAGATTCAAACTGTACAATGGCTTCTTTGAAAGGGTGTTTTTTAATGTATCAGTCATGGGCTGAGAGAAAATCCTGCACAAAGAAATGAGAAATTTCAGTCCCAAAGGGTTTTATTTTATTTGACAGCCCTTTGCATCTTGATAATCTTAACCCTTTGAGCCCTGACCTCCTGAGGCTACCGTGCCCCCCTGCCTGAGCTCCTGAGTGATATATTACTAACATTCATGTGATCGTCAGAAGCACATTCCACATTCCACCTGCGGTAGTCTTCATCATTATCAGCTTTTAATTCAAAAGATCTTTAAAATAATTACTAATTACGGTGGAAACCTGATATAACAGGGATGGTGGTACCTGAGAAAAAGTCGTTATATCAGATCCCTTTTAAATCAGAAATGCAATGGAAGTAAGCATTTGTGGACTAATCCAGCTGTATTTAGTATTCACGGGTAGTGTAGCGAGGCTTAGGGCTAGATGAACTCTGCAGCACACCGCAGCCCTCTCTCGCTTCACCCGCTGCGTGTTCTTGCAGTGGTGTGGCTTGCGTGGGCTTGCTCTATCACTGCGTTTCTCTCTCTCTCTCTCTCTCTCTCTCTCTCTCTCTCTCTCTCTCTCTCTCTCTCTCTCTCTCTCTCTCTCTCTCTCTCTCTCTCTCTCTCTCTCTCTCTCTCTCTCTCTACACATTGTTAACGAGCCTTTGTCCCTGCTACAACCGATTGGGCTCCGATGAGGCCCTGTTATTGCCGATACTTTTAATAGAGACAAAGAGTTGGAAAAAATCCCTGTTATTACCGGTTCCCTGTCATTACCGGACCTGTTATATATAATATATGGTTTCCATTTTAATAAGGTCTCGTGTAGTAATTGCTGTTTTCTGTACACGTTTTGTCTCAGGCGGGCCAGGTTGTGGTACCAGTGGCAAGGACTCAAAGGGTTAAAGCAGTATGCATGATATAGCTTTGTCTGGGCAGTTGACATAGAGGAAGTAGATTGCCCAAGTATTACTTCCCTTCCTTCTGCTCTTGACTTCCTTGATAATGATGATAAAGTTACGCTCCCAAAAAAGAATCTGTAGTACGTTTTGAATCAAAGAAGGTAGAAGGGTCTGTCTTACTATTTCTTTTTCTTCTGTGCTAGATCTCAAGAGTAGTCAGCTGCTGGTTCTTCAGCCTGATGTACAACTGATTTTTACATAGACCAATTTTCCTACTCAATAGGACCGTTTACCCTTAACCACTTTCCGATTTTGAAAGAGCTCTACATGTTTTTATACCAACATAAGAGTTTTCGGTTCTTGTAGGAATTAATTTTGAATTTAGGCACGAGTGGTGACCAAAGCCTACTCTTATTAATTTTAGGACCATCAAGGGATCTTTAACATTCGCAACTTGCACACAAGACCTCCAAGAAGGCGAGGTGTTTGATCTTACCTCTACTCTAAGATCAGGGGTGTGGCTGAAAGATAGCAGTAAGAAGGAGCCAGGAGTAGCAGAAGAAAAGAGTCAGAAGCCCAGAGGGGGGAGGCGGGGGGGGCGCACAGAACCTAAAGATGAAAGCAGATGAAGAGAGAACAGGAAAGAGGTAAAAGTAGAAAATTTAAGAGAAGAACGTTTTTCGTTGCGATCCGGTTTCGAATCTGGGACTTACTGATTGAGAGGTCCTCTAGATCACAAGAGCCCTCTTAAATATGTACTTATTAACCGGGTAGGGTGTGGCTTTAAATCCCTTTAAACCCTTTCATTGTCAGGGGGGCGCCAGTTCTCACTCTCACTCAGCATTGGTTTTCAGCTAAGCTCGTTAGCCAGAACAGCAGTCTTATGTCTCAGTGTTCGCTCTCGGTCTAGATCTAGCCCACTCAAGACATTCAAACCCCGCATCTTCGATATTCTCACTGTCCTCATTCCCTGACCTGTATACCCCATCTTATCCATAATTTTGAAAAACTTGCAAATGTATTTCAAAAAGTGAAATTTGTAGCATTTTCAAGGTCATTTTGATGTTTACAATTTGCGAGAGCATGGTTTTGTCAGGATAACTAGGCCACTGTTTTTTGGTTGTTTTTTGGGGGGTTTTTTTTGGGGGGGGGGTTATAGTAGAGGGTTTTACTGCGCTCGCAACTGCAAAGGGTCATATGAGCGCCAAGAGGTGGATGTCAACAGAGAAGTCTTTACAGGGAATCAGACTTACTCTGCTCACCTCTCTAGCTTCAACAGCACAAGGTCTGCTTCGACTATACTATAAGGCACCCCTGAAATAGCAGGTCACAAGAGTGTGACAAACATACAAAGAAGCAGAGGAAAATGACAATAGTAGTAAGGATTAGGATAGAAAAAGCGGCAGTTCCCTGTTGTAAATCAGGCAGTTATGGGTGTGACATGATGAATCAGCCCATTTTCAATTTTACTGTGCTTGAACGAGAAATGCCCCCCCCCCCCCTTTGGGAATGGCTTAAAGACACTACAGTCAGTGGTACTTCCCGGGGGGGGGGGGGTAGGCCTGTGTTTATCGACCGATTTCACACCTATCTATCAGTAAATCAATACCAGCAAATTTGTAATCGATAGGAACATTTTTTATTTCCAAATACGAATCCATGCTGTGCTTGTGGCTAAATTTCCATAAAGAAGAATCCAAGTCACATGGTTAGCAGGACATACATGGAATGTCTTATAGGCAACCAGAAACAGCAAATTTTGCCAAGTTCCTTGTCTTCCAGGGAACGGCACAAAGCTAACAGTTCTGCATTTCCGTTATGTAGGCTACCAGGTACATTATAAAGCAACGAAGGGGTTGAACATTGTGAGGTCATTGACCAGGTGGGACCTCCCAATATGACATCCATCTCAAACAAAACTTAACCGAGTTGAGCCAAGTTGTCTGAGTGCTGTGGTAACTGAGAGTAACTCCCCAAATAATTCTGGAGGGCCCCCTTTCGGAATTCAAATCATGGTCATCTGCTTCATAGCTCAAATCTGTGCATACTGACTTATCTAAAAACCCTTTCACTTTTTATTTGAACGCACATTATAGTTGTTCTTCTGTCAGTATGAGACATTGAAAGAATTGAAATATGTGACGTTTAGTTAAAAGTTAAAGGTCTACAAAATAGTTCCATGTGTGGAAATGATCAAATGCAAGAGCAGAATTTTGCCCCTTGAGTTTCATGACGCTTCTTTTTTTCTGTTGTTTCTTCTAGTTCCTTAGCACATTTATAGACAAAACTTCTCGCAGAATATGTGAAAATTAAATTCATGAAAAAATACAGTCCATGCTGGCTTTAAGCACGGTCATCGGGAGAAAGTATAAGCGGACTTAATGCCAGAGCGTGCTTGAGTGCGAAGTAGACATTGTCATAATCCAGAGATTTTTAAGTTGAAAATGTCCGGAGTTATTACCCTTTGTTCATAAGTAGTGGTCGCGCAAAAGTGTGCGCTGTCAGTTTTACCCGCCATGGTAGTTTTTGTTTGTTTTGTTTTGTGGTCGAATCAAAGTAGTGGAGTATCTTTGGTCGAATGGGACAGGAAAACTTAATTTAGACAGCCAGTCACGGCACAGCATACTAGGCCTAGGCTTACACACTGCCCGTGCGTACCGCTTCCCGCCGTGCCACATTCATCCCACCTCGCGCGTGATACATAATCAGGATTATCGGATAGCGAGGGGCAAAGGTGAAATCGCAGTCAGCCTCCCTTTCTCGCTACCCCAACTCTCTTTGTATTTTTTTCATCTGTGTGTTGCCTAGATAATATTTGCTCTAGGCTAGATCCTATGTCCATGCGCGCGGCTGTGTGCATCTCTCTGCCTTCCTCTCCGCACATGTGTGTCTCCATCACTTGTTTTCTTTGTGTTTCTTTTAACACACTCACTGCTGTGGGGTAGACTGTGTTCGAACTTCGATGGATCATCGTGACAGTATTGACTGTCTTGTAAATGAAGTGTACCCGAAGCCGAAGTTACCGTGCTTAAAGGCGTGTAATTTAAATAGCAAAAATGCGGCAAGAGCCGTTTAGCGTGCTTGAGTCCGAAACGTGCTCTAAGGCGGTGTGCTTAAAGCCGACCAGACTGTATTTTACATTGCCTCTTTGATGAGAAATATGCACAATAAATTAAAAAGAACAAAGAACTCAGGTCCAGACTGAATTTTCACACACAAGAGTTTAATCAGACAAAACAATCGTACAAGGATTAACAAAATAATCTTACAAGGACTAAAAAGAAAAAAATGTTCACGGTTTTCCTTTCTTGCACATCTGACCAACGTCTACATGACAATATAAATATGTACAACTTTGGTCTATACAACCTCATAGAGTGGGGAGAAGGAAAGATCCCTTGGACTAATGGGAATATGGCAATGTTCCTAAGACTAGAGATAAACCCTATGGAAAATCTCAGAATTAGTAAGGAAAATCTAGGAAGAGAAGAATTGGTTTCTGTCCTGTACTATAACAGTATGTCCACAACACTCTTTTGGAGCTTCTCGAGACCGTGTTCAGTGAGTATGTATGTGTGTATTGCCCTATGGTAAACAGAGACCAAGGGATGATGTCTGATAAAGCACTGCTGTTGACTAAAGATTTATTTCTGAAAGAATCGCTGACCATGGGAACAACAGAACAAAGACCCAAGAGCACTCTTCACAGCATCTATGACAGTACAATTTTCTTTTAAGATCAGATGCCACTGACCAGAGGCTTGGAACAGCTTCTTCCTTCCTGCATACAAATTATGTTGAGCACTTGGTGAATGAAAAGAGGGGAAAAGTATTTTTTTACTCTCCTACTCCTATTTGCATCATCTGGGAAACAAATGTCTGGCACAGTCTCAACACTTGTGTCCTTTTACCGACTGAAAAAAAAAAAAGGTTCAGGCACACAAAGAGGAAATCTGAGCATGCCTAATGAAAACAACAACCCACTACTGGAGCAGATACAACAGTACAGATGCACAATCCTCCAAAAACACTAAAGGGGACAACCCTTCCACACACAAAGCAATTGGTATCCCATTAAAGCAAAGCAATATAAATTATCATAAAGCAATAACAGTTTTTTAAAAACAACAAAACAAACCCAAAAAAAAATGAAGATAATTTAAAAAAAAAATTACAATAAAACCTAAATAGCAGTCTCTATTTTGAACATAAAAAATTGCACATCAGTTACAGCAAAAGGTCTCTGAATATAAGATGTATATATATACATGTGGTTCATTTCATATAGCAAGCATGAATGCTTAAAACATAAACAAGAACAAAGAAGTTATGCCTGACATACAGACTAATGGGTCTCTATTGACAGAGTGTAATGATCACTGCAAAGAAATAATACAAAGAGTAAGAGGAAGGATGAAAGTTTTAGCTGGATTAAATTACTCTGACAACTTCTGTGGAGAACATTGAAAAGTAAAAGTAACAGGCTCATAGAAAATCTTACATCTGATTCTCAAGCAGTATCAATAAAGCCATGTTTGTGCAATTGAAATAATTCCCTTTAACAAAACCACAAAACATTGTTCAAACATGTCAAATTTCATGGAAAAAATGTTGAGCAAAGAGTTATTATTGCAAAAAAAAACCAATGCAGAGTTGCATTATGACGAATCTCATCCATTTGAGTCAACAAAAAGCCCGTTCTGAGGTCTCACCTGTGACCAAGGCAAAAATTGACAAAGAAAGGAGGAACAAAGCATGAGACAAAAATCTGTAAAGTTGGAACTGATCAAATACATGGGTGAATGATCCCAACATCTGCAGTTCCTTAGTCTTGGCTACACATGAACAATAATTGTGAGGACCCCCAAACACACCCTTCCCCTTCCTCACTCCAAAAGGCAACAAAATACAAAGGAAATCTCACAAGCTTAAAAAAAATCCAATTAGTTCTTCGAACTGTTGAAATATCGGAACTGACACAAGAAAATCAATGAAACTTATCTTCCGTCACAATGAAAAATAAAGAATCTCAACTGGTAATTTCATGAATCAAATGGCAAGCATGAATAAGTGTGTCCCCATACTGTTGTTGCTGCTGAAATCAAAAGCCCTCTCCATGCAACACAGGCGATTTGAGGGTAAACCATATAGGGTCCCATCGGGATACCGAGCAAAAAAGAAATATTTCAAGGAGAATGAGAAAAAATAGTTATTTATACACCACTCAGTAGCAAATCTCCGAACTTCCACCAGGCAGGCCTATTGCATTTCAGCAGAGATCTTATTCCAGAGTGTGCAGGGCTGGGCAGAGACAACTTGAACAATATCACGCAGGAGTATGCTCATGAGGACCATCTCAATTAGAGGAACTTTCAATTGTACTACAGTCAGCGAAGAAACAGCTCATCACCACTACATTTGTACTTCGGTGTTGAGCATGGGTGCCTTACTTACAATTATATGCAGGCAGAGCAGAAGGCAGCCTTCCACTAATCTCTCTGTAGCTTGTTTCCCTTGAATTTATACATAAGGATATGCCTGCAATTAAGACAAGATTTCTGAAGTTAAGAAAAACTTAAGAGTGCTTGACCCTGCCCTGCCCTGCCCTGCAAATACGCACAAGGCCTTCCACATTCACCACTTCCATTTGAAATACGAAGGAACAAACACACAGTAATATCAACGTTCCACATATCTGTTGCGGAAAGGACTATTTACTCTACTGTTCCAATCTGGCTCAACTTATCACACTTTTGATCTACAAACGCTGAGTAAACGTGGCTAGTCAAGTCAACGGGGACCAACCCTTTCCTGAGTACATTCTCTGCCAACAACAGTTACCCATCCACACAACTTCCTGTACTTCCTTTTCATCTTCTTCAGGAGTTCACATTCTTAGAGCTCAGTTTAGGTGAAAATAAAACTTTCTGTTGATGACCACTCTGAAACACTTTCATAATTAAAGTTGAAAACTGGGCTGCAGCTTACTGTCAGTGATTCTTTTTTTTTTGTTTCATCATTATATTTAAAAAATCATAGCCTTGCTAACCATTGAGGAAACCCTGTAGAAGGAACGAAGTGCATGTCACACACAGACTCTTGTATTTCTTCAGTCATGTTGAGTGGGAAAGTGTTTACATGTCACGATAGACATTAAAGTCTGAACTAAAAGGTGTTAAAACAATCACTTCGAACACCATTTGAACATTTGCATTTATAATTCAAGGAACACAAATTTTTTTTAAACATCCCCTTCTGTTTTGCAAGTTCACATGACACCGGTCCTCATCTAATAGTTTGGGTATTAAAATTCAGACTGAAAGACCCGAGTTTCAATACCCAGCTCCATAGGGCAGGACATATTCATTTCAGTGATTTCACATTATTTTCCACAATTCATTACTTTCAAAAGAAGATTGAATTACTGACAGAGATATGAGAACAATGTATGAGCACCTCACTGACAGCCCTCCTCTACATCCTCCACGCGACTAAGATGGTAAACTGGAAAATAACATTGCTGTGGAGTTGTGTAAACCCTTGACTCAGGCCGAAGGGCTAGAACTCAGAAGGTCGCTGGATCGGAAAACTAAAGTGAACCCTTGATCAGAAAAGATTTAGGACTGCAGACTATAGACTCTCACTTCAACACTCACTCTAACTACCACTGAGTGGCCAAGTGAACCAGACAAACAGCTAAAACAATGCAAATGAAAGTTGAAAAAATTTCACAACATGCAGTTTGTAACTTTCAATGGTGATGTTAAGAGGCTTTGGTCATGACACTAAAACAGCTTGCTTACTTCAAACAGCACACAGTTCAACAACATGCACATACCGGTAGCCTTTTTGCCTTCCTGTTCAAGAATAGCTAAAGTAAAAATTGTTGATTTTAACAAAGAATAAAGAAAAAAACAAGCAAAACAAATCTTTCTTTAGACACAAAATGTAAAGATGTACGCGGAAAAAAAAACCCTCCCACATCCCAATCAATCATTTGGCATGAAAACATCAACGTATCAGGCAGAAAGCATATTTCATCATATTAACACCAGTACAGAATGACTAGAAGAAGTAGTAATGTCACAATAATATTCGCAAAATATGCACCACATTTCGCTATCACTGTTCTCTAAAAAAAATTACAGAAAATGTGAAAGAGGAAAACATTTTGCACTGATGCTAAATTTCAATTCAAAACACAAGGGTAGGCATTAATATATTCTCATATACACTGTCACACACACGAAAAAAACCTTTTCACCTTCACAAACTTCTTGACCCAAACAAGCTGTGTAATTGGCATGATCACAGTACCTCAAAACAAGAGTTAAACCCGAAGCACTTTCGGTGCGAAGCTAACCACAAATCTATGTATATCACAGGGCGTGTCAGTGGGACAGACACTTAGTCAACTAATCAGGTCAGGCCAGAAAGTTGGATTGGCCAGTGTACACTTACCACACTGATATCTGCATGAATAAACTTTGATCTCTACATGAGGATATGGCCCTCCCCGAGAAATGATCAGGAGCAATAATCAAATGTACAAAATTGAAGGTAATATATCAAGCATGAAAGTCAAACTTTTCCATGACTCCTTTGATTAAAAAAACAAACATTAGCTCAAGCACCTAAGGGGATCCACAGATATTATTATCACTTATTAAATGAGGTCCGAATATACTAACCCCAGCTTTTCCACCAATTAAATTTGGTTTTCTTGTTAAATCTCTCCAGAAATCCAACCAATTGAAAGCAAAAAAGCCAATATTGTTAGCGTGGAGGAGCCTTACATCACCATTCCATAGTGGTAGAAAATGGAGAATGGTCGTTTCCATAACACACAATCAGCTTATTAAGTAAGTGTACACTGGCCATTAACAGAATATGAACTGCAAGATGTGCAATTAAAAAATTGACAAACAACTTTAATGGGAGGGGTATGACTATGACAAAATATATTCATATTGCTTGAAATTCAACGTCCGAGTTATCCATTTGTTATTACATAAATAGTAAATCTCATTTTAATGGGACTGGCAGTATTCTGCATCAAGAACTGAATCAGGAATCCCATTCTGCTCATATTCGAGTAACAAAACTATACAACCAAAAACAATATGAATTACCACAAGAACCGTGATTATGCGAGGCTCTTGTTTTTATGAACCTGTACTACAATGTACAATGCACTTGCATCTCAGAACACATATTCATACATGATAACCATGTCTGCAGAGCTTGGAATACTTTCATACTTGATGAGTCCTTGAGCGCATGCCAATCAATACACAGTCGACTTTGCACCAAGTTTTGAATTGTCTTTCAAAAGGAAAGCAGAGTTGGGGAGTTAATTCTTTCTTTTTGCACTAATAAGAATAAATGACCATAAAAAGGATTTTCAGACAAATCAAAAAAAGGTTTAAAAAAAAAAATCATAAAAACATTCTGTAGGGGAGAAACTGGAACAATTTTTAAACCCTCCTATTTAGTATGAGATGAGGGGTCTGTACAGCCGGGTAAATATAACTCTGTACCCATATTTCCAAGCTTTATAACACTGCAGTGAAAACAGTAGCCAATGAACCTAAGCTCCTTGAATGCATTCCCAGGATTAGAAAGGAAAGGAGAAAAACACTGAACAAAATCAGAAGATAATAATTGTAAAGAATGTGCCTTAACAAAGTACTGAGAGCAAAACACTAGTAGAAAGAGCATGTACATCAGCTAAAGACTCAACATCACCGACTTCTTACTACTCCAAAGCACTGAACAATTCAGTAAGTTCATTTCCTGTGGAATATAGACCTGAGCAACAAGGAATTATTTCTTGTGGATGTCCGAATCCTGTTCTCTTTGACAGACAGGAGATGGGCACTATCTTTTGGCAAATCTGATCTTGTTAAACTTCCAGTTCACTAAACACTTGGCGACAAAACTGCACAATCAGAGACTTCGGGTGGTCGTCTTTCTGAAGTCTGTTTACCTCTCCAGGTTTCAGCTTTTCCTTGAATGCAGTAGCATACTCACGGTCAAATGCATCTGAGAAGCACATAAACATGTTCATATTTTATTTCATATATAAAATCCTTGTCAATGTGCTGAATTTTATTACTTATTTAAATTTTGAAATTTACACATCCACAAGATTTAGTAACTTTATTATGGTATATTGTAGTTTTAGGTTTAGAGCTTTCAAACTGTTCAGCTGTACTATTTTCAAACAATTAAACACTGAAAAAGTCTAATCTTGTAGAACTTGTTTCTCCATTTAAAAGGACAGTAAAGTTTGATGTAAGAAGCAAATGCAGCATTTCCTTTATTATGAGATTTAGAATCCACAAAACTATTTAAACCCACTACATGATATAAACACACAGTGGATTCATTTCAGATTTTTTTTTAATGCCACATTCTACACATTCAAAATTAATGCAAATGAGAACCAACAGATTGAATTGAAAGGCCTGGAAACTACATTATGTTTTAGGAATATTATTTAGTTTTTTGCTTTGCTTTTGTATGAATTCAAACACATTCTAGATATCACCTCTCCAACCTCTTTGAAATATCTAGACTATCAAGAACTGACACAAGACATATAGGCTTACCATGGTCAATATTCTCCCGGCCACACTGAGCGAAGGATAGGAACAGAATCTCTCGGTACATGCTGCGGAAACGTCGTTTGCGAGAGCCCATCCTCCTTCGGGCATGGGCGACAAGCCGTATAGCAGCCAGCACGTCATTCCGCTGTATAGCCGCAATGATCTGCCACATCAGTCTGGGGAGGACAGAACGGCTGTAAAGGTCAGGGGACATCAAACATGCTACAATACATGTACATCAAACTGGCACAAACACTGATATGTTCTTTATGTTTTAGAAGTTTGTCAAAGTATCAAACTACTAATTAAAATATTTTTTTCCTGGGTCTCTGAAAGACTTTGGGGTCCCACAGCTGCCAGGTATAAGAGTGAATCCTGACTGTGATACATACATACCTTCAGTTGAACCAGCTCAAATGTCAGTTGTGCAAGACAATCCCCTGCTCAAACCAACAGTTCCTACTTTTCCCTTGTGGGTTTTTTTTTTCTCAATTTTAATGTTACAATCCACGAGGACCATCTGTCTAGGACAACCACTTTTCTGCTCCATACTGGGTGGTCGTCTTGGACAGGTTCAGCTCAACTCACAAGCATGGCACCCCATGTAAACCTGTTCTCTGGCCTCGCACACAGCAGAGTTATTTCTTTATCTGAAACTTGCTGTTCATGCATTAATGAGCCTTGCAGACCTGACAAGTACTCCAATAAAATTGGAGCTCTGAGAATTGTTTTTTACCAGTCAAAGAACGTAGATCTGATTTGCAAAAATCCAATTTTTTCCCCCTAGAATTTCGTTTCCATCGGTAGTATGCATCTCAACGTAAACAACGTGAAAATACATGTTTTCAATGGCATTTTTTGTCCAACTTATCATGATGTTAAGTTACACATTTCTATTTGAGTGCATTTGCTATTCATGTTTATCTGCCACTTTCGGTTTGTTATGTTATCTTAACATTTCGCCGCCTCATCTCACCAATTGGCGATGTTTACCACCCAGTTTCTTTGGATTTTTCCCAAAATATAATGGCAAAGTGTTAACTCCAGATTTGGGGACATTTTTTAAGGACAACTCCTATTTTTGGTCATGGAGTGGTTGGCAGAATGTCTTATCGACTGAAACCATTACACGCATATCTGACTTTTGTTGGAATAAGCTTGTGATTTAGTGATCTTGCCCACAACAGTTACTGGAAAGGAAAAAATCATATTTTCTTGCACAAAAACTTACGGTCGACTGAAAGAGTCTGACTCAATGACAAGAGCATCAATCACCGTGGACTTGTGGCCTGGGAAAAGAAACAAACACACAGAAAATTAGCAGCTGGTTCTGTCACTCCCTCCCTTCCGATCACATTTCAGGGAACAAAGTTCCTACTAGTAATCACTCTAGTCAAAATATGTTCTTTTCCATTTTTAAAATTAAAAAAATATATTTTGGGGGGTTTAAACTCCCAATAATGTACATAATTTGCTGCTATTTTAAAAGATTTTAGCAAGCTCTTTCAAGTCAGCCTTTGCCACTTCAGCAAGAAAAAGTAACCAACTTCTTAAAATCTGTCTTATTTTCCAGCAAACACATCAATCATAAGAAATGCAAATAAAATATAAAATACAGTGCTAAAAGTACAGCTTTAAAATTTATTTAAAAACACTATCTTTAAAGTATTTTGATAAACCATTCATTAAGGAAATATTACAGCCTTGTAAAAAAGGGGTAATAGACTAATGTAGACACATCAGTATGACCATAGATTTTCTTTCCACTAAAAAAATCCTAAATAACAACATTTAATTATCTCACAGTTTTGAAACAGCCACATGGACTAGTGGACTGAAGAGAGACTAGACGTAAAGCAGCAGACCTCAGCCAGATGACTTTTCCCATCCCTATCCACAGGCAAAGATCTTACATAAAAAGATTGTTCACTCAGCTAAAAAAGTGTTCGCAGAAGTCTGCGCACTGCTTCAGATGGTGCTGCAGTCTTTGTTTTGAAGCTCTCTTTCATTTCTCCAGAAAAAGAAAAGGAATAGCACAGTTTGTTAGTTTCACTTTTATTATTTTTCACACAAGAGGGTAACTCTGTTCGAAAGTCCAAGCTTTTTCCAAGAGAGCGCCATCAAATTTTGAGGACACTTTTATAATTGGCTCAAAGAGAGGAGAGAACTATCTTGTAATACACGGTCTATGCCACAGGCCATCCAGTGATGCAACAGCCTCATCTGACCACGTTTTACACCTCTCACATCCCCTTGATACAATTTAGATCTTTATTAGAGAGTCAGGCTGCTTCTACCCTGCCTGTCACGGCCAACCCCAGCTGAGTGGGATACAACATACCAGCAGACAGCGATACTTGATAGAAAACTTTGCAACTCACGAACCAAACTCGCATCTTTTGAGTGGAATGACGAAGCGCCTAAGCCTTTCACCACAGACGCTGGTCACCTAACAAAGAAAGGGAGCCCTTCAAACCCTAGTCCTAAGAGCCAAGAGGACCTTTGTATTCAAGTATCCTGTGAATGACAGCTAGACTCACTGCTTGACACATATACCACTGCACTCTGAGGTCTAAGTCACTTTGACCAAAGGATGAAGGCAGCAGATCCTGAGATCTGTGCTCAAGTTTGTAAGGTTAAAAGTAAAAATTGTTTGCTTTTTTGACGGAATTGTGGAAATGGTCTTACCAGCTCGCCAAGCAGAGTACATGGGCAGTCCAACCTCGTCATGGATTCGAATGTTGTCCCACTGGGGTACGATGAGAATGTTCTTGTTGGTGTATGTGCCTTTGAGCTTGTTCACATCCTGGGAACACACAACATTTAACAAATAATTGGCTCACCCTCATTGGCTACAAATGCTTAAAGAGAGAGAGAGAGAGAGAGAGAGAGAGAGAGAGAGAGAGAGAGAGAGAGAA